CCACGGTGCTGACACATAACAGACATTTAATACATATTTACTGATTAAATGACAACTAAAATCAGACTCAGAAGGGACCACTGAGTCTCTTCATCTAGTGATTCCAACAAGGGCCATGCCACCTCCCAGGGAGCATTTTGGAAATGTGCAGAGGTGTTTTTGGTTGTCACAGGGTTTGGGGGGGCCCTACTGGAATTTGGAAGGTTAGGGGTTAGGTGCCAAATGATTTGTAACAGTTGGGACAGTCCCATGCCACTAAGTCTTGCACAACTTTTTTTTAGAATCTGGAAAGACATGTATGTAGGCAAATAATATATTGCTACTTACTTGAACCTAGAATCTAACTTTGATTTACACAAACACAAAATATTTTTGTACCATTTTAACATACCTGAATATGCCAGGAATGCAACTGCTGTGCATATCAAGGGGGAAATTATACTTTGCTTTTGTCCAGATAGAAAAAAAGAATCGTTCACCCTTGTGGAAAACTCGCATGAATGATAGCCACATGGCTCATGTTATCTGAGTGCCCCCCAAACAATCCCTCTGTACCTGCCTTTATAGCTGTTACAGTCACCATATTATATCTGTCAGCAACTTCTGGGGAACAAGCCAGTCCAAAGCAAAGTGGCTAAAAAGAGCAGTCATTCTCCCCCATGCATCTTGGGTTGGCTGGGGGTTGGCCGATCTAGGCTGGGCTCAGCTGGGCGGTTCTGCTTCAGACTCAGTCTGCTGCACTTGGTTCCGCACTTGGGTCGGGCTCAGGTCTGCCCCACGTGTCTCACCATGGGCCCAGGCTGCAGGGCCAGCAGATAGCTGGGAGGAGCTCCTCTCATGATCAGGGCAGAGGTACAAGAGGGCAAGTCCCACTGCACAGCACCTTTCAAGCCTTATTCCAGTCTTGCCTGCTATTATGCCACTTGGTCAAAGCAGGCCACATTGGCAAGCCCAAAAATCAAGGGTTGGAAAAATAAAAGTATTCTCCTGCCTTGGAGGTGGAGGAATAGAGTGAATATTTTTGAGCAAAAAAATTGAGTCCAGCTTAGGAGTGATCCTACACGAATCTCCTAATTTAGCTCTGATTTTAAAATGTCCTATATAGGGGCACCTGGGTGGCTCAGTCGGTTGGGCGCCTGCCTTCGGCTTGGGCCCTGATCCCAGGGTTCTGGGATTGAGTCCCGCATCGGGGTCCCTGCACAGTGGAGAGCCTGCTTCTTCCTCTCCCTCTGCCCCTACCCCCACCCCCACCCTCCACTCATGCTCTCTTTCTCTCACACACTCTGTCTCACATAAATAAAGTCTTAAAAAAAATGTCCTAAGTAAAAAGTTCAGTTTTGTCTTACTTATCTTAAATCTAAGTGTACTCATTATAAGAAAGCATGTGCATCTAACTTTGTTACAATGTAACAATGAGGTCATGCTAAGCATTTACATATGAAACACATGTTTTCATATGTGTTTAAAATAAGAGTAACTGTCCTCTTATTTTAAAATATTTTACAGGGGTGCCTCAGTGGCTCAGTTGGTTAGGCGTCCGACTCTTGATTTCAGCTCAGGTCTCGATCTCAGGGTTGTGAATTCAAGTCCCATGTTGGACTCTGCACTGGGTGTGGAGCCTACTTAAAAAAAGAAAAGAACGAAAGAAAAAAATTTTATGTATTTTATTTAAAATTAGGCCTTGAGGTAGATCTGTTACGTATGACTTCATTTTACGACAATCAAGGGGGTCTACAAAGCGTTCTTTTTTTTTTTTTTTTTTTTAAGATTTTATTTATTTGACAGAGAGAGACACAGCGAGAGAGGGAACACAAGCAGGGGGAGTGGGAGAGGGAGAAGCAGGCTCTCCACTGAGCAGGGAGCCCGATGCGGGGCTCCATCCCAGGACCCTGGGACCATGACCTGAGCCGAAGGCAGACGCTTAACGACTGAGCCACCCAGGCGCCCTACAAAGCGTTCTTTACAGAAAGAGGACAAAGGCAAAAGGTTGGGACCATAGCGGTAATGCAATATCGTGCAGCTGGGTGAGGGGCAGGCAGCACGACTGAGTCACACAGACCTTCCTTCGAATCCTGCCCCGTCACCTACAAATGAATTATGTAAGTTCCGACAGGCTGTTTAACATCTCCGAGACTTTCGCCGGCATACTATGGGGTAACAATACAAATCTTCCTGCTTGCCAGAAGAATGGAATGAGATCATGTGTGGGACATTCGGGATCCTGGCAGGAAACAGAGGACATGCTCCACTGGGGAAGTGGAGGGGTGTTTTATAAGGGAGCTGTTCACCAGCTTAGGGGCTAAGTTCTGTTCAGCTCCCCAGGGACTGTGCATTCTCTTAGGGCTATTAGCAGCAGACTGCCGTTCCCACCCTGGGTCTCCAGGGCCAAGGCGAGACATAGAAGGGGCAGGCCTACAAGAGCCATGACCTTCAGCACAGGACCTCGGTCAACCATGACAAGCCCACAGGGAAGAAGCTTGGGGGTAAATTCTCCAGCCTCACTCTCCCCCTTCGGACCCCAGAGCTTTCATCTGTCAGTGGTTCCTACTGGCAAAACCCAACAGAGATGAGATGTGGGGGTGCCTGTTGACGGCGTCCGTGGAGGTCAGCCCGCCAGAGCACAGAGCAGGAGGGGAAAAGTGGAAAGCTGACCTGGATGGGCAATTAGAAGATGTCCAGCATGAAAAACATTCCACACAGCCCATGGCAAAGTAAGGACTTTATAAGTGGTAGCGCTGTTAGATAAACCCTCACACGTACACACATACATACATGCATGGGAAACTCAAATACCACTCCGAATTATGAATAGAACCTCCACTAGAATCTAGTTGACCTTGGAGGGGAAGGAAAAAAATCTTTTTCTTCTACCCATCTTGGGTTCTCTGGCTGAGGCCCCATACATTAGACTAACAAAAGACAGATTAACAAGAGAAAAAGCAAGCGGAAGTTCATTAGCAGGTGTGTCTAGCATACACAGGGGAGCTTAGAGATGAGTATCTCAAAGGGCTGGTTAGAAATGGGGCTTAGCGCCTTCACAAAAGAACAGTGTATTTTTAGAGACATGACAAAACAAAGGAAAAGGACTTAGAGCTTCCCAAACTGGGGGGAAGCAAGGATATGGGGAAACAATGGTAAGGGTCTAGAATTGTCTGCATTGATTAAGTTCTGTCCTTGTAGGTGTGTGGGGGGGAGGGGGGGTGGCATCTTTACATATGTCCTGCTTTTAGGCAAATATAGGGGGAAGGCAGAGGGCTCTTCTTAGATCTGCATCCTCTCAATTGCCTTCAGCTCAAGATCATCCTTATGCCAAAGTGACATATTTGGGAGTGGCCTATTCTGCTACCTTGCAACCTTACTTATCTTAAATCTAAGTGTACTCATTATAAGAAAGCATGTGCATCTGACTACTTTGTTATAATGTAACAATGAGGTCATGCTAAGCATTTACATATGAAACACGTTTCCAAGTCCGAGTCAAAAGGCTTTTTCTTTTTTTTTAACTGCATTCTTCTACAGATGATGCTAAATTTCTGTATCAACGATGAAACTTGCCCTCTCTGAACCACAGATGTTTGAAACTTCATAATATTTACCCTTGAAACATATCAAGGGGGATGCCATCCAGAAAAACGAGCAGCATTTTAGCTAGTGATTCCGGGAATTCGGCATTTCCAACTCCTCTCGCACAGCACGGATAGCAAGTGTAGCTATAGATGTTAACTCGCTTAGAAACTATGCTGGGGGGCGCCTAGGGGGCTCAGTCGGTTAAGCGTCTGCCTTTAGCTCAGGTCATGATCTCAGGGTCCTGGGATCAGCTCAGCATTGCGCTCCCTGCTCAGCCAGGAGCCTGCTTCTCCCTCTCCCTCTGCCCCTCCCCCTGCTTATGCTCGCTCTCTCTCTCTCTGATAAATAAACATCTTAAAACAAAAAACAAAAAACAACCTATGCTAGGGCAGTGGTGACCTTGGTTTAAACCAGTACCTTGGTTTAAATACAGTTCCTGATTACCTTTAAGTAGTGCAATTTAAAACAAGCACTTGAAGGATAGAATAGCTTTCTGGATTGGTCCCAAAGCCCCACTGAGATAAAAGGCCGTCGTATTTGTCCTGACAGGCATTCAGGCATGAGCATCTCTGAATCCGGTTAAACCAGTTCCCTGGCAGCCAAGGGATCAGCCTTGAATGTGTGGACGACTGTCTGACTCTTGGGAAAGGCAGGGCTATCTGCTTTTCCCACTCTTTCCGCAAGCCTCCGTAGTTTCAGAAGCCTGAACTGTCAGGTGGGAACTGTGTAACAGAGCCGAGGAGCAGCCAGGCTTCTCGGAGTCAAAGGAAAAATGAACACCTCTTTGTATACAGAGTAGACTCGCCTCTTCTTTTTGATTTCACATGCTTTCAATTTTTAGGTCTAAAAAACCCACAGGCAGAAGTACAGCCATCGACGGCCACGTGAGCATTTCACTGGCTGGAACTTGGCGTCAGGATTTGAAACAAATACCTTTTGAGATGTCATTTAGTTTCTCAGAGGATCAGGTTTGGAGAAATCGCTTACTTTTATCCAGTGACCTCGGGTGCCTTTCCCTCTCACACACCACGGAGAGCTTGAAGATAGCCTTTTGATTCCAAATCTGTGGCCAATGCTCCAGGAAAGATGTTTTTCAAATCCATATATTTGCACATGCACATACGCTCTTTATGCAATAATCCAAACCCATAAACACAGAAATAGCCTTATTTCATCATCTAAAGCCGAAAATCCAAAAATGCCATTAATGCATACAGGCAGATGCTTGGATAGAAACCCAATCCATAACTATCAGAATTTTTTTTAAGATTTTATGTATTTATTTGACACACAGAGAGAGAAAGCACACAAGCAGAGGAGAGGCAGAGGGAGAGGGAGAAGCAGGATCCAAGCTGAGCAGGGAGCCCGACGTGGGGCTCGATCCCAGGACCCAGAGATCATGACCTGAGCTGAAGGCAGCTGCTTAACCAACTGAGCCACCCAGGCGCCGCTAACTACCAGAATTTTTCACACTTTTCACAAAATGTGTCTTAAATGTCCTTGTTACAAACCTCTGAAGTTACCATTAGCTTGTGTATTTTACATGTGGCGAGAAAGCTGGTTTGGGAGATTTGCAAGTTCTGTCCAAGGACACAGAGCTAATAAGGGGCAGAACCAGGACTTAAATACAGGTCTATTCCAATTTAAAATTCTTAGTCAAAAGAGAATCGTGGCAGACTTTCCATTTATTGAAGATACGCAACATTAGAACATAAGTAAGTTTACAGTATTTTGAAATGACAAAAGTCAAATCTATTGCATTACTTGGTGTTAGAATAAAAACTCTAAAGGTTAGGATTTACTTTCTCAAAAAACTCTCTACATGGATTTTGAAACAGGCTAAAAACTTACTGAATAAAATGATTCTGATTAATAATGCAGTTTGCTTAGATAAATTCATTTTTGTTATGTACTTACACTGTTCAGTCCATGAGCCCACTTAATATTTAGGGATCTTCCTATGAAAAGCACCGAGTAAATAGCAAAATAGCTCACAGCAAGGAATGAAAGCTCACAGAAGTGAAATACAGCTTTGTTGTAAGTTATGAATTTTATTCTTGAGATTTTAGGCTTAATGAATATCAATCATGACAATATTCTTTTGATATTGTGACAGATTAGTACATTTGCTTGATGAAAACCAACTCATCTTTATCATCTCTTTATCAAAAGAGAGCTAACTTAGAAAAAGTCATTGATAAAGAAGATGGGACAAAAATTAAGTTTTCAAAGAAATGGGCGGGGGGAATCTAACCACCCTCTACACAGACAAGATGATTTGATTTGTGACCAGAATTCCTACCGCCATAGCTCTCTGGCTCCTTTGGGACTTCCTCCCCTACCATGATGAATTCTTCAATAAAAATGAGATCTCTTTTATCTAACTCTTGATGTAAATGCAGTATGAAATGTGCAGAGTCATCTATGAAATATTCTTGTCAAAAATGTTTAACCTGAACTGAGTCAAGCTTTCAGATCTCACCTCCAGTTTATAGAAAATGTAGGGAATAGAAGATCAAGCTAAACAGTAAGAGGAAATAATTACACAAATTCAGAAGGGAGGATGTTCCAAAAGTTACTGTTGTGGGGAAAGTGAAAGAACTGTTCTAGATTAGAAGATGGAACAAACAAATGCAATGAGTAAAACTTGATTGGATCCCAACTCAAGGAAATCTGTTTCCTTGTTTCATTTCTTAATTTCTGATCCTCCTGCCTTTTGCCTCTTTCCTGCCTTGACTGCGCTGGTTATAGGCTCTCCAGTACAATATTGAGCAAGAGCAACGAAAGCAGGCATCCTTACCACGTAACCCATCTCTGAGGGAAAGTACAGAAGGCAGAATAATAGCGCCCCCGAAATGCCCATGTCCTGCTCTCCAGAACTTGTGAACATGTTGTATGGCCAAGGGAGGTTAACGTTGCTGATGGAATTAAGGTTGTGTATCAGCAGGCCTTAAAATAGGGAGAAAACCGGGGCACCTGGGTGGCTCAACCATTTAGCGTCTGCCTTCGGCTCAGGTCATGATCCCAGGGTCCTGGGTTCAAGTCCCGCATCGGGCTCCCTGCTCAGCGGGAAGCCTGCTTCTCCCTCTCCCACTCCCCCTGCTTGTGTTGCCTCTCTCGCTGTCTCTGTCAAAAAATAAATAAAAATTAAAAAAAAAATAGGGAGAAAACCTAGGTCATCTGGGTGGACCCAATGTAATCACAAGGGTCCTTAAAAATGCAGGATGGATGCAGAAGTCAGTGTCAGAGCTATGTGATGGGAAAAGCATTCAACCTCTTGTCGCTGGCTTTGTAGATGGAAGAGGGCTTCAAGTCAAGGAATGTGTGAGGCCTCTAGAAACCGGCAATGGTAGGAAAACAGACTCTGCCCTAGAGCCTCCAGAAAGGAATGCGGTCCTGCTCACCCCGTGATTCTAGCCCCGTGAAACCTGCATCAGACTTCAAACCTGCAGAACTTTTAACATAACGGATCTGTAACTAAATCTGTAAACTAAAGTTTCTGGCCATTTATTACAGCAGCAATAGAAAACTAACACAGATCCTTGAGACTTTCCAACAGTATGATGTTTGCCATAGGGTTTTTGTGGATTTGTTGTCTGTTTGCTCTTGTATTCCTTCCAGTTTATTTCTGAAGTGTATTTTTAACTCTCATATTTGCTCTGAGCCCTGTCAGCTCTCATTTTATTTCCTCCTGTTGCTTGCTATCTAATCTGAGCTTTTCCAATATTGATGTTACAGCCTTCTTTCTTAAGCTTCTATCATTCCTTGAATTTCTTCATAATTTTTAAAAATATTAGATCACAGATTTCCTCTGCTTTGCAAATGTTTTTGGGTATCTTTGCTTTCTGTGGGTATGTTATACAGGTCGTTATCCTTCTCTTAGAGCACAGTGTAAGATGTGGGTTGTGTTTAAGTGAGAAGAATTTCCCTGTCTTTTTAGAAGATTCCTGTGTAGGAGGTGAGGTGGGCCAGAATAGTTTCCTAATTTTGTGGTTCGAGGCTTCTCTCTGCTGCAGTTACTACGCAGGGTTGGAGAACATGGTTTTCTGTGTATCGCGTTAGTACTTTCCATATTCGGTCTCCTTGGGTCCCCTCTTCCACCCGTGTCCGAACCTTCTCTCCTTTACCTGTTCCCGCGCAGTCCTTCCTTTGCCAATGTGTGCTCCACACCCATCATTTCCCTCAGGCCAGGCCCACGTGCTCCCCGGGGCTACTTCTGAGAACTCTGCAGACCAGGTCGCCCTAGCACTCTCGTACCTTTCTGCGGGCTCCTATTCCCAGCTGCCAGCCGAATGCTCAACAGACCTGTCCGTTTCCCCACCACTAGTCCCCTTACTTTGCTTCTGCTCACTTCTCTAAAACCTCTGTTCCCCTGTGATCTTACTGCTATTGATGGTTTTAGCCCAAACTGCTCAATTCTGGGATTCACAGGGTTACTTACCACCTAATTTTAGTGAAGATGGTGTCACGGTGTTTTCTTCTTTTGCTATAACATAGCACCTGGGGGTTTGGGGAGATTATAAAACCACCTGCTGTTGCTACCATGGCGCCTCCTAAAAGTGATTTTTTATTTTTAAATGATTTGTATTTTTCTATTATAATGCCCAGAATAGGGCAGACTATGCTACAGCAACACATAAATTCCAGACTTCCGTGACTCAACACAAGCACTTGTTTCTTGCTCACGTCAGTCGGCACGCTCTCCTGGTGGTTCCCTAAGCCGTGGCCGACAGGCCCCGGCCGCGTGCATTCCGTGAATTCTTTGTATATATGCCAACAGGAAGAGAAGAGGTGGTCAATCATGGCCACTGCAGGTGAAGGCAGTGAGTTTTACTGCCAGATCCAGAAGTCACGTCAATCACTCGTCCCGTGTCATTGGCCCTGGACGAACTGCAACAGAGGCTGGGCAGAGGTAGAGCAACACTTTGTCAGTCTTTGCCACAACCCTGTACCGTTGCCCAAGCACCTGGGAGAAAAGACGGACTATCAAACGTAAGACCCTGCCTAGCTCTTCATGCGTCTGTAAGAGGGTTTCGGATGTAATGTGATTAAAGAACACTCGCTATCTGTTTTTAATAAGGCTTTAATTCCATCAGTACAGAACTTTAAATAAAAAAATTGTGACTCAAACTGTTTTCAAGTCTGCAAAAAACCTTCCACAGGTTTTCCACAGCCTCCAACTGCTGACAAATTCGGAGGAGAATAAGAAAGCATATAATTAAACAAAAGTAAAATGTCTCCAATTATAAAGGTTCCAGTTACATACGGCTTTTAGAATTTTAAAGAATTAAACTATACCACTAACATACGAGGGAAATGGTGGTTTGGCATCATTCATAAACATAAATGTGTTCACAAATATTCTAAATATTCAATATATGTACTTCAGGAGAACCGTGACCTTAAGCAATGATTAGTCTACCAAGTTTGACACTATAAATATACTCATTGAAAAAAATTAACACAATATTTAAATAAGAATCAAGTTCATGAAAATTTACAAAATATAACCAATGTACTCTGACTTATGATCATATCTTAAATATTTCAACTTTACTCTTCTAGCCTGATGAGGCCATTTAAAAAATAGTTCCACACTATTTTTAACTTCAGGATATAAAACAGTAGGAATTTACTAAGTTTTCCATTATAAAAATTAATATAGCAATTCTCAAAATACTAAAAAAACCATTTTATGAAAGCAGTACTCACATCGTAACAACTTATTTCTTTAAGAACACATCTTCAAAAGGCACATTTTAATCACTAGTATTTATCTGAAGATGGTAGTTGAGTTTTGAATTTCCAGTCAGTTTCCCATGCTCTCAGCATAAAGACGGCAGGAGGTCGGGAGAGGCAGGGGACCACGGTGTCTAGGGGGCGTGTACTGAGACAGCAGTGTTCTTATTCGCCATATCCACAGAGACCAGGAGAAAGAGGTGAAGGAAGGGGGATCTGCAGACCTGTCTTCTGTCCTAATTTAACCTTCATGAAATATTTTTTACATGAAAATATTTAATTAAAAAAAAAATCACAAGACAGAAAGCTAAAAAACCAAAAGGCCCAGAACTCAAACTGCCAGTTTAGTTTGAGTGGTAATGTTACTTGTTTGGGGCCTGAAGAAAAGAATGAAGCTTCTGGTTCCTTGTAATCAAATCTTTGGACTGGGCTCGTCTCAATTTAAATCACTTGGTAAGTTAAAGGTGCTGTTACAAAGTCCTAGGATGTCTGGTATACTGATTTTCAAAATCAAATTATAAATGACTTTACGGTTATCTTTGTCATGTTCCCCGTTAGTTAGGGCTGATATTTTAAAGTTGACTGTTAATTAAACTAACACTGGTAATTTCAAGTACCCTACAATATGACTTATTTTTAAGGACTTACGCCCTAGAACCCCAAAATGCAATCCAATATACACTTTGAGGTATGGTTTACTTTTCAGTGAAGTTAATACCAACTGAACTACTAAAGTGAGTAAGATCAGTACTCTAAAGTACTAACTCATTAAGTAACTGATCCCATGCAAGAAACAAAAGGAACTTTTAATGCTATTTTGGAATTTCAAAATATTGGAGATCTGCCTTAATTTCATGTTAGTCCCCTCCAGTCTCAGTTGAGTGTTTCCATTTTTTTTTTTTTTAAAGAAGGGGGAATATCTTTAGATTTGTTTCCTTACTATAACAAAATAATTGAGCAAAAATATTCTGAAGTACAGAAAATAAAATGGTCACTTTTTACTCAACCAAAATATAACTTTCTGGTCCCTAACAATGGTCACTTTAGGGACTTATTCAAGTTCTAAAACAGCAGCTTTTTCAATTAAGGCAACATTGCTCTATTCTTACCTGTTTTTCTATTAACCACTTATTAAAGTCTGTAAGAGCAGTTTCACCCTCGAAGGCCTTTTATAATGTAAGAAGAGTGAACATGAACATCCTTCTCAATGTTTAAAAAGAATATTAAAAGTTATTCAAAGTCAACAAATGCCTTATTTTTCTACTTGGAATTCCAAAGTAGTTACAGTCATTTCAGAACGTATAAACTATGAAATTACCTTTTAAACTAACATCAACAACATAAAATACAATTTTTCTACAAAAATACAATATAGAAGATTTATCACTGCTTCCCTGAAATAGAAATTTAATATTTGGACCAAAAAAAACTGTAAACTTTTGATTACATTCAAAAGATAACCTTTTAAAAAGACTTACATTATTTGAGGTTTTGGCAATGGGAGCTCTGAACAGCAGATTTGCATTACTGTATTGTTTTAACGACATTGTGCCAAACGGTTTGTTTCTTTTACTCTTACATCTGCTACCAGGAGGAAAAGAATGGCTTCCTGCAGTGGACAGTCTGGGTGAACGCACTGCTCAGATGGACGATCCGACCCTGACTTCCACCCTGACTGCGCTCCACGAGCACACACGGCATCTGCACCAGCTGCACAGGACTCTTCCCGTCTTTCAGTGCCTGGGTAAGATTTAAGATCTGTGCGAAGAAGAGATATTTTCACTAGTTCAAGTAAGATAAAAAACCTTCCCTCAGTTCACTGACATGATTTTAACCATTTATTCGTAACTACAATTTTTATTTCATCCATTTATGCCCAACAGACCGAGTAAAGTAAATGGCTCCACACTCTCCATTTGACATAGAAGCTAAACGAAGACTGGTCTAAGTTGTCTGCTTGTTCCATAATTTGGCTATTGTTGATAGTGCTGCTATAAGCATCAGGGGGCATGTAACTCTTCAAATCAGTATTTTTGTATTCTTTGTGTAAATTCCTATTAGTGCAATTGCTGGGTCGTAGGGTAGTCCTATTTTTAACTTTTTGAGGAACCTCCGTACTGTTTTCCAGAGTGGCTGCACCAGCTTGCATTCCCACCAGCAGTGTACGGAAGGAGCCCAAATGGCCACCACTGATGAATGGGTAAAGAAGATGTGGAATATATATATATATATATATATATATATATATATATATATATATATAAAATATACAATGGATTATTACTCAGCCACAAGAAAAAATGAAATTTGCCATTTTCAATGATGTGGATGGAGCTAGAGAGTATTACACTAAGCAAAATAAGTCAGAGAAAGATAAATACCATATGATTTCACTCATATGTGGAATTCATGAAACAAAACAATCATAGGGGAAAAAAAGAGAGAGGCAAACCAAGAAACAGACTCTTAACTATAGAGAACTGATAGTTACCAGAGGGGAAGTGGGTGGGGGGACGAGGGAAATAGGGGATGGGATTAAAGAGGGCACTTGTGATGAGCACCAAGTGTTGTATGGAAGTGTTGAATCACTCAATCGTATACCTGAAACAAATATTACACTGTATGTTAGCTGGAATTTAATAAAAACTTAAAAAAAAAAAGTCTGCTTTTAACTACATACTTGCCTTATCCACTCATCCAACAAAAAAATTATTGCATGCCTACTACGTGCTAGGCTCTAAGTGCTGGGGCTACAACAGGAAAAAACCAAACAAAACCCCTGCTTCCATGAGGCTTACATTTTAGCAGGGGGAGGAGTCACGAAGCATGAATCAGTAAATTATACCAAGTATATTACAGGGTAAAAGTGTGATGGGAAAGCATGAGGCAAGGCCAGGGGGTTAAAGATTTAGGGAAGGTAGCCATTTAAAATAAAGTTTCATTTAAGAGTTTACTCTTAAATAGAAAAGATAAAACTAAGAAGAATAAAATATATTACATTCCATGTTTAAACATACTCTCAGAATTGCTACTTGACCACATAAATAAGGTTATGAAACTCAATGCATAGCTTACTCTACTCTGTTCAGATAAAATAAAATTTTAATAATTCATTTTCTTTTTTTCCTGCATATCAGGTAAAAAACTCCCTTTGTTATGTACTTTAGAAACAAAGATGTCTCCTTCAGGTATTTGAAAATATTTAATATACAGATAATATATATTTTAATGGTTCTTGTAAAGATTATTTAATAGTGATAGCATAAAGGTTTCAACATAAAGCCATACTAATAAATAAAATTCAAATACTGTGGATAGTATAAAAGTGGACAGTTTAGATCCTAGAAAATCTGAAGTATTTAACACCTCAGGGAAATAAATCTTTACTAGCTACAGTAGTTTTACTCACTGTATTTAGGATCCCTTTTAAGTTCTTCCCTTAAAATCTTCTAGGCTGGCTATACTTGGATAACAAGACACAAAGAATTCATGAAATTCACATTTATAAGCATTGTTTTTATCATGAAAATAAATGTGGGCACATTTATTAGTTTCTTCTTCTGGTTAGTTTCTTCTTCTGGTTTTAAAAATTCTATTCTAAAAATGTTAGTCTAAACACACTAATTTAAGTAATATCTAATATTTTCCTGACTCTAAAGACATGACTGTTGTAGAGAATCTGGAAAATAGAATTGTATAAAGAAAATGAAAGTCATTCTACAAGCTTAACAATTTTTAAATATATAATAGCAAAAATTACTCAATCCTAAAACTATCCTAAATATTAATGTTTCTTTGAAAGTTGAGAAGACACTTGATGATCTTGGATTTACTTATTAAAGAAACATCTATGGTGCATGCACTGTGTTGGGGCAGAGAGAAGACTGAACAGGAGAAAAAAACCCATATGAGCCCTTAAAGTACACACATTCTAGAAACAAACAGCCATACGAACAAATAACTAGAATAAAAAGCAATGAACACTTTAACAACAGTGGACCTATGCCCTGACTTAAAATCTGACCCCCTCTCCTAGATATCACCCATTTTTTTCATTTCTGAAAGAACAAATATATTATTATATATTTAAATCAGAGAAGACTATTTTTAGAAATAGACTAAGCACTGCAGGCAAGGAGAAACACTCTAGTCTCCATCGATGCCACATTTGAGAACTGGGTAGGGATGCGATGGTTAGGCCAAAGGCAGATGATATAAACTCACAGACTTCCACATACAGACTTTGCTCTCCTTTAGACTGGTTCACTGGTCCTCAAATTTTAGTGGGTATAAGAATTACTGCACTATGTAAAACCACACCTATTTTCTGGTTGATTTTAAGTGATAGTAAGCAATAGTAATATGCCCAACATGCTGTTTTAACATCGGATTTTTGAGTCAAGGCTGACACCAGTGTATTTCCAGGGAGTGCTGCAGAAAACATAACTCTGAGCCTAGGAAGACAGGGCTGGAGCTTGAAGGAAAACCATCCTCCAGAGGAAGAAGAAAAGGCAACTGAGGAGTGGTAAGAAGGCACATGAGGGCGCCACTGGGAAATGGGAAACGGGAGGGAAGGATGGCTAGGAGTGGCCAGGCTTAGGGGAAGCCACCACTGCCCAGAGATAAGGCAGGTGCATGGGATGGATGCAGGAGGAGTGGCAAAGGTCCCGTGGCCTGTGCTCTAAGTCGGCACTGGAACCAATGCACACCCAGGAGTCAGGGAGTGATCAGATGTGCTTTTAGAGAGATGGTTCTGGACTACTGTGAAAGACAGGAGAAGAGGTCAGGATACCACTTACAAGATCATTAAATCCAGAGAAGAGATGGGAAGGGTCGCAGGCAGAGGCAATGCCTAAATGCAGCTGATGTGCCAGACGAAGAGCTCCTTATTTTACAGACTTAACATGTTACTTAACCCCGTTGAGCCAAGTTTCCTCCACATAAAACGCAGAGAACTATGGAGAGCTGCTGTAAGGATAAGTGATACCAAACATCACAGGGGTAAAGTACTCAGGAGCTACTCAAGTGTTCGTTTTCTTTTCTTCAACATCAATTATTACTGAATCTGCAAGTGAGCTTCTGGTTTAAAAGTCACTGAATAGGTGTTCACTGTGTATTCCTAGGGCAGTTTTATTTATTATTTCTGCCATTTTTTCAGACCACATGTAAAATACATTTCACATAAATATGTCCCGAAGTCCAGTGTTCCCAACAGGCACAGTAATAGTAATACGCCCGGCAGAGATAGAACACAAAATGAATGACCTTAGACTCTTAACGACAGAGAACCAACTGAGGGTTGATGGAGGGATGTGGGTGGGGAATGGGCTAGATGGGTGATGGGTATGAAGGTGCACACTTGTGACGAGCACTGGGTGTTGTCTGTCAGTGATGAATCACCACACTCTATTTCTGAAACTAATATTGCACTACATATTAACTAACTAGAATTTAAATAAAAACTTGAAACATAAAAAATAATAAAACAAAATGAACGATCTTACTGACCCTGATCATGACCTACTGTATTTTTTTTTCTTAAAGATTTTATTTATTTATTTGACAGAGAGAGAGAGAGAGAACAAGTAGGCAGAGAGGCAGGCAGAGGGAGAGGGAGAAGCAGGCTCCCCGCCGAGCAGGGAGCCCGGTGCGGGGCTCGATCCCAGGACCCTGGGACCATGACCCGAGCCGAAGGCAGCGGCTTAACCGACTGAACCACCCAGGTGGCTCCATGACCTACTGTATTTAAAGTAACATTCAAAATCTTTAACTTTAATAAACATTACCAGTCCCAGACTTAAAAAAAAAAAAAAAAAAAAGCCTTCATATAAGTTCTTAGTTCCAGTCCACATCTTTATGAGAAGAATTAGAACATGTCACTGATTATGTGTGCAAAACTAAAAACTTAGTCCTAGTTTATAGGGCAAAAGATTTGGTTGTACCAAAGCACAAATCTGAAGTTAAGTGGAAAACTGGAGGGCAAAGAGGTTTAAAGAAAATTATAAACAATAGAAATAAAATAAGTATTTTGACTTATTTAAGGAACCAGCTGAATAATGATTTTGTTGCTGGGAACATAGGTTGCTGTTATTTGTTTTTGTCTGTTAGGCTTCTGTTTCAAAACACTGATTTACTTTAGGACATAAAATACTATCTAACTTTTCAAACAAACTTTTTTTAAAAAACAGTTAAAACCAAAAAGCTATATACATATAATCATGTACATGGTCAGGGTACCTTATTCTTTTTGGCTATCAGAAAGACAAAACCAAATTAAAATTTTAAAAAACCAAAACAAAATCAAATTAAAACATATAGCCAAGGTATCATTTTATCTTTTTCTTTCCCCAGATCTTGAGCTTGTCATTTTTACATATTATACACATTTGTGTAATACCTTAACTCATTTGTGAATGAGACAGGACATGAATAAATAAACTTAAAATAGCAGGTAGCCTCTGGTCTAGCTTTGCGACAGACCTCAGAACTGGAATGCCCCCATATCTTGTCAGACAAGCATTTTAAAATTTATATTTAAATTCCTCAGGTACTGGCTTTAATCTATAATTAAAGCTGACACAATTATTTACAGCTTTTCCTTAAAAAGAATTCCTAAGATATATCTTTAGGGATAAGAGAATTCTTGAAGATGGAGCATACTGATAAATCAATTTTGTTTCAAGCGAAAGGGTCAACTTAGGGGATAATTATCTATGCCAGAAAACTTAGCTCAACTATAGTTTGGGATGGTAACACTCTTCAACATAATTATAACCACCGATCACTTGAGCCCTTCATACCTGCCTGAATTACCTCACTCACCTCCCTGCAAGGCTCCCTGGCTTCAGCCGCCTCTTCTGCTGAGCAAATCTACACCTCACTGTCCAGCCTCACCTTCTGCAGTGATCCTTAATCTTTGGGTTACAGACTCCTTTTGCTGACATAAAAATCCTATTGCCTGTCCCCCACCCTAAAATGCACATATAAACAGAATTTAGCAGAAGTTCAGGGAGTTCACAAAAGCAATCCAGGAGGTGTCCTCTCTAGAAATATTGTCTCATCACACAACATTTCTGAATGGTAGTCTCTCACGGCTCTAATCCCTTCCACATGGAATCTGTATTCTGGCACTTACGGCCTCCAAGATCTGGCTATAGCCTACTTCTCCAGCCATTTCGCTTACTATTTAAAACTTATGATTCCAGCAAAGGACTGCATACATACAATGGAGCACAGAGAGGTGTATGAAGTAATAATCCATCTCTTTTCCCTGACTCCTGGCCTTGTCATCACAGCACATGCTCCAGGAAAGAAGGAACTGGGTTTTGCTCATGGTTTTATTTCAATCACTAGAACACTTTCTGCCACTAGTTCTGTCAATGAATGTTTGGTGAATGAATGATTTTCTAATTTAATTATATATATTTGTTAAAATTATATAATGTATTAGTACAAAAACTAGACTTCTTTGCCCCAGGTATGCATGCAGCAAACAGCTACCTTAAATTAAATGTGTACTTTAGGAAGAAAAAGTTAATTAGTAAGTCACTAAAAGACAATGTTTACAGTAATTTATTTGTTTACAATATTTACAAAATTATTTACATTAATTTATTTTCATGTCAAGTCTTCCTTTTGGAATCTAAATACTACTAATAGAGTGGAAGGACCAGACATTATCGGTAGGTCAGCCAGCCTACAGGTCCACACCAGCAGACCTAACACCTTATATCCCTAAGTAAAGGAGGTAAGGAGGGACAGGACTGAGTTACAATCAGTACTTTTATGCCTCAATCAGTGCTCAACCTTGGTGATGTGATGATTCACTGACTGCTCCAGGAAAGGCCAAACACGTTCTATGAGAAAGACAATCAACAGGCAACGGAACTTGGTATTGAAACATCCAAGCAAGTAGATTTGAGGAGGAAAAAAAAATATAGTAACACTCGGGAAAACAGTTATCAAAATGAGGACAAAGAATTCACAGGAGGGGAAACTGGCTAACAAACAATAAACAAAAAGGTAAAAAAATATCTAATTTAGAACACAAGGAAAGCCGCTACTGAAATCCACTTCATTTTTAATCACATGAGCTATTTTGGTTCAGCATAAAAGAACTGCCTCTTTGGGTCACCATGGAGAAAAAAGTTAACAACTGTTTCAAAGAGATTTTTTTCTTAATGAACAAGATCATAAAAAGGTTAACTTACCTGACCCCTCATCACAGACATCTGACTTTCAAAAGTGGCTTTGTTAAATCTTCTGTCAGTCTTTCATGGGACAGAAAAAACCCCCACATTATTATAATTCCAAAAATCAAGATCTTTGAAACAAATATTTCAAAAGAAATGTACTCTTCAACTTAGCACGTAAGGCCATTTTGAAGCCTTCCTAATAGATAAAATAATGTTTAAAGAGTATTTTTCCTTGATTTATTTTTGGATGCCTCTAGAATGACAAGAATAGTTTATTTATACTCCAACTGGTTCCAAAAGGATTTAAAATGACCTTCCAGCCAATGGGTTTAGGCTTTTTTGAGAGGATTCAATCTTAGCAGCTCACCAAGCATTTATTATAAATTATAGGGTACTTCTGTAAAAAATCAACTTTTGAAGAAAACAACTTGTGAAGTTTTAATACAACCTCACGTCAGAGAACACTCATAATCAGTGTAACTTCACAAATTTATGCTCCTGTAAGGTAAAACTGTTAATTCCTTTTTAAGTCAGGTTCTACTGCAAGTAGTGATACCAGAAGCAGTAAATTGCAAATTAGCTCTATTAAGAAAATCTCCTCTAAGATTTATTTCATTTTCCGCAATTAACTAAAAATTTACCTTAAAAAGTTCATGAAGATCTTCACATAAATCTTGCACAAAGTTCATGTCAGAAATATATGGTAGAATTAAGTTTCTTATTTCTTCAGAAAAAGGAACTTTTGCTTGAGGAAGCCAAGCCCAGTGAAATGGATCTAACAAAAGAGAGAGAGAGAGAGAAAGAAGTTATCAGAGAATGATCATCCCGATTCCAAGTTTGGTTGGTTAATTTAGACGGTAAAGCACAATCACTTCTTAGTCTTTTGGCTAAGATCAAGTGTGGATGGTAAAGCACAGGGAGGTATTACTGGAACTAATTAATTAGGTTCCTGAGTTTTAAATAGTAAAGGGTAAGAATTTCAATAATGAGTCTATCTCAAACAGCCCTACATCAAAAATATATCTGAATCTCTGGTTCCTGAGTTTGGAAATTATGGGACACCTATAATTTATTCACAGCCCCAGATCAAATACCATGGCTGACGTTTCCCTGCCCTCTTACTCACAAATCATCAGGAATTGACCACTTGCATACGCACGTAAACATATGATGTTCCAAAATTTTAAGTCATTACTAGGTAAATAGGTAAGTGGCTTTAAGGGATCAAAGATCCATTACTCCAGGCTAATTCTAGTTTTCTCCTAAGAAGACCGTTAAATATATGCAGTACTAGGATTAGAAAGATTTGTAAAGCAGTAGAATCCTCTAGAGAGGGTGCATATTCAGATTCCTGCAAGAAAGTGTAAGGCTTGTAACAATATGATCAACCACAAAACCACTGTGGGTTCATATGATGACAACCTCCAGCTTTGATGGCTCCTACCACTTAGAAAGCCCTAAGGAAAAAAATCTATATCTACAGTCATTCCTTCTTACTTCTCTTTTACTATATCCTTGTACACTGTGGGAAGTACACTGTCCATTCCTCTGGCCCACATCTCCCTGAAGCTATATCCAATTTCCTTTTCCCTGACCAATCACATAAAAGCCCTTTTCCAAGCCTGCTTTTACTTCCAATCCCTATCCCTCAATTTCTATTGTCACCATTCAAATTCTCTCATTTAGGGGCACCTGGGTGGCTTAGTTGGTTGAGCATCTGACTTGCGATTTCAGCGCAGGTCATGACCTCAGGGTTGTGGGATTAAGCCATGCATCAGGCTCTGCACTCAGCGCAGAGTCGGCTTTCCCTTTCCCTCTGCCCCTCCCCTGCTCAAGTGCACTCTTTCCTTAAATAAAAAACAAAACAAACAAAAAACCTCTCTCCCCTAAGACCACCAGTCATTTCATAAGAGTCTCTCCAAAGGCCCATTTGTTCTCATGCTACTTATCAAGTAGTACTGTTCTTGATCATCTCCCTCTGTAAAATTCTCTGTGTGGCTTTGGAAATACTACTCTCTCAAAGTGTACCTTCTATCTTTTAAGCCACTTCTCTTGTTTGCTGGCTTTTCCTCTCGTCTTCAATGCCACCATTCCCCCTTTCTCTCCTTCATTTGCTAAGCATTCATGAAACATTTACTGAGTATTTGTGTATCTCATATTGTCCTAGTGATGGTATTTGTTCACCATGACCTCCCTGGGCAGTAACCACTACCACAGCTTCCACTACCACGGTGACAATTTAAAAACTATATCCTCAATATCAATTCCTTATTTAAGTTCCAGATCCTTAATTCTCATCTGCATACTTGGCAAAATTTCCCAGATGTATTGTAGGCACCGTAAACTTAACACTTTTAAAATACGATTTGCATATAAATTCCAAACTATCAGAGGAAAAAAAACAATGAAACAAAGACATCTTAAGTCAGTTCAACAAAAGATAGGAAAGGGAAAAAAAAAACAACTGGAATTTATGGTCGATAGAAAAAACCAAGATGGCAGGAAAAGTTCAAACACATCAGTAATTTATTGAGACTTTAACTAGAGTTGAGTATACCTATTAAAAGAATCTCAGATTGGGTAAAAAAAATATCCAGTTAGGTGTTGTTTATAAGTCATATACTTAAAACAAAATGATGGAAGTAAAAAATAAAAGTATAGAATAATACCAGGTAAATGCTAATAAAAAGAAATGAGGTGTAGCAATGTAACAACAGATAAAATAAGAAAAGTAAAAAACACTGAGGGATAAAGTGGGATATATTTCACACTAATAAAAGAACAAGCCACCAGCAAGATAAAATGCTGAGCCTTTATGTATGTGAATACACAGCAAAAAACGTATAGAAATGCAATAAGAAATTGCCAGAGTCAATCACAGTGAACTTCAACTCTTCAAAAATTAACAGATCAAAAAAAATTATGATTTGACTAACAACTCACAAACTTTAATTAATAGACAGATGCAGAACTTTGTGTTCAAACACATTCTTTTCAAGTGCCTTCAAACTGGCCATCTTCAAGATTATAAAGGAATTATTAACAAATTTCAAAGAGAATTCACGCAGCTGCATTCACAGATCACAAAGCAATAAAACTTGAAAATGAAAATGGCGATTCTTTTTTTTTTAATTAATTGACATAGAAAATCTAAAACCAAACAAAATCTTCCTAAGTTACTCCCACCAAAGGGTAAGTCTCACAGTATGAATATGCAGAGTAGAACAACAGAGCAGCCCCTATCTAATCTATGGCTCAGCCAAAAGGATACCTACAGAAAAATATATAGGCAAGCAAAATAGGATGAACACAACAGAAGAAAAGAGTAATGATGGAAAACACAAATCAATGAAAGAGAAAAAGCAAACAAAATGAAAACCTGATCAATACAAGGCCAATTATACGAAAACAATGAATCGTGGATCACTACATCAAAAACTAATGATGTATTGTATGGTGACTAACATGATAAAATTAAAAAAAAAAAAAGGCCAATTATCTTAAAAAAAAAAAAAGTAGAAAATAAATAAGTGTAAAAAGGCCAATGCTTTACAAGTCTGTGGCAAGCCTAATGATAAAAAAAAAAAAGCCCACTAATAAACAGTAGGAATTTAAAAAGGCACAGTCATACATACAGAGATTATTTATTTTTTACTTATTTTTTAAAGTAAGCTCCACACCCAGCGTGGAGCCCAATGCAGGACTCAAACTCACGACCCTGAGATCAAAACCTGAGCTCAGGTCAAGAGTTGAATGCTTAAATCAACTGAGCCACCCAGGTGCCTCGATAAAAGAGATTATTTTAAACATATATTACAGAAATATAAAAAAATTTAAAAACTAGTACAATGAACTCTTATATTTTGAATAATCTAACTATTCCCAAATTTTTACAGAATGTGTTTCACCTATCCCTGTTTTCCCTCCCCCTAAATATTTTAAGGCAAATTAGATACCATTTCCTTTCACACCTAAATACTTAATATACATACAGGGGATTTTTTTTTTTAATTATAAGACAATTCTATAAAAAACTTTGTACCCATAAATCTAGATCTCAAGATGTCATGAACAATTTTAAGCAAAGTAAAAATGTCAAAAATTAGCTCAAGAAGATGTAGCAAACCAGACCAGTAACCACAGGAGACTGAAAAGGTAGATAAAACACTACTCACTTGGAAGGGGGTAGGTAAGTCTAAACTGTTTTGTAAGTGAATACTACCCAACACATTAAAGTTAAATTCTACCCAAATATTAAAATAGATGATTCCCAATTTGTTAATATTTAAAAACTTATTCTAGAAGACTAACACAAGCCAAAAACCCAAAACCAGACCCAGTCATTCAAAGCTAAGCAAACAATACATGGCAAGGCCCACGCAATACACATTTCTGCATCCCCAGACTCTAGACCAGAGCCCTAATCAATGGTTATCCTTCACCCAGGTTTTCTTCTCCTTTTTTGATATCTGTAATTTTTGTTCCCTTCTTATTCTGGAAAAGGGTAATTACAGAATCTATAGGTGGTTCTAAATACTCACATGTTCTCCATTCATCAGGATGCTTAAAAGGAAATGCCAGACCATTATCAATTGCAGCTATTTTAATAAGTGATTCTTTATTATCAATCCATTGCGTTTCCTAAAGAAGAAAAAAATGGTCTGCCGATAAAAAATTTGTATGAATATTTCCAAAAGATCAAGTATTAAATAAATTTTTAAAAATTACTAAGGTTTAAAGACATTTTATTTGAAGAGTCTATAAAAATAAAAAATAGGTTGCCAGAAAATATAAATTTTTACCCTCAAAAGGAAGAAACTGTCTTATGAATCAGTAAGAATTTCATAATCACTGTTTATTTTTTTAATTTGTTATTATAAATTTAGATAGTAATGGTTTCATTTTTTTTCCTCTTTGGGGAAGAGGACCTGGAAATGCTAAGACTTAACAGTATGTTGTTCCAGGTAATTTATTGCTATATGCACTGCTTAAATGTATGACATTTGCAAAATACTGATATTTTTAAGAGAACAAAGCTAATTTATTAAAAATTTAGTCTTTCCTAGGATCCCCTAGGATTAATTAGTCCAAATACAAAATGTTTCTAAATAAAATTACCCAAAGACCAAATATAATAAGGTCCAGTAGAAGGAATCTCAAGATGCTATTCATGACAGAATGTAGGCCATTCCTAACTTCTACATTTTTCCATAGCTGAAACAAAGACCTTGAGAGCAAGAGGGTTTTCATGTTAAGGGGTATGTAAAGATAGATGGCTGCCAACATATTAAGTGGCCAACATAAAAACAAAAGGTGAAAAAGATAAAATTAAAAGTATTAGCATGAAGGTCTGTTTGATATATGTCTGGTTTGTTTCTTTTAGTTTATTTCAAATATCTGACCTCAATGAAAATGCACAAAATACTTAAAAGAATGAAGTTTTCAGTAAAATCTAATTGCTTAAGATATACCAATAAAATATATTTAGAAACTATTTTGAATGTGTATATTTATGTGTGTATTTTAAACCCATTTCTGCTACAATTGCCATTTCTTTTTTTTCTATTTACAATGTCACTGAGGTATAATTTACACACAATAAACTTCACATATTAAAGTATTCAATTTGATAAGCATTTGCAGATGTGAAACATTCACCGAAAGTTTCCTGGTGTCCTTTGCAGTCCCTCCCTCCCTCTGCCCCACCTGCAGGCAACCATGGTCTGCTTTCTGTCACCAGGGATTAGTTTGCAGTTTCTAGATTTTTATATAAGTGGAATCAGACAGTGTGTTCCCTTTGTGTGTAGCTTCTTTCACTCAGCAGGATTTTGAGATTCATCTGCATTATTGAGTAGTCTTAAGACTCAGAAAGAAACGAATTACTAAAATATAAACATGCTGACCAAAAATACCAGAAGCCTTTATTTTTATTACATAAAGGCAAAATAAATCTAGTGGTTCTACAACAAAGTTCACAAGTTCTAAAAAAAAGTTTTAAAAAAATACAACATAAAAGCTACATAGAGATTTAGAAAAATAGAATTTAAAAAATGCAATGTAAACAGAGGAAGAAAAGAAGATGAGAAAAACGGAAAAAGGAGATAAAATCAAGGATCTAAGTGAAGGAAATGAAGAATAACATAAAATTTAAGGAATCTTTTACAGAAATTGATTGTGTGTGTATGTGTATAATTTTGAAATTTCCTTACCTTAATTTCCTTTCCCTGTTTCTGCTTTTCATATTTGATTAACCAATTATCATTTCCCCTGTCTTTCAAGACAAAACAAATCTGTTACTTCATTTTTTATGGGTATCAGAGCTTAATAGAAAAAGGAATAATCTAGTCGCCTTTTGATTTTTAAGACCATGACTGGTTATCTGTGGCCTATGTTTACATATTAAAAGCTCTAATTTAACACATACAAACTAAAAAATACTTACAAATGTTAGCTAGCACTTTTTGAGAGTTTACTCTGTGCCAGGCATTGTTGTAAGTACTTAACATGTACTAATTCATTTAATCCTTACAACCACTTTGTGAGGTATGTATAATTATTATCAAGAACTATCAAATCAGGGTGCCTGGGTGGCTCAGTCGGTTAAGTGTCTGCCTTCTGCTCAGGTCATGATCTCAGGGCCCTGGGATGAGCCCCACATCGGGCTCTCAGCTCAGTGGAGAATCTGCTTCTCCCTCTCCCTCTGCTCCTCTCCCCTGCTCAGGGCCTGCTCTCTCTCCCTCTCAAATAAATAAATAAATCTTAAAAAAAAAAAAAAAAAAGAACTATTAAATCAAGTTTGTTAAAATCAAGGATAACTTCTCTTCATCTTAGGAAGAAAAAACATCTACCTCTATTGCCAGGCAAATTTCTGGGTAGATTCTCACCTAATGTCTATATAGAAGTTCTCTAGTCTCTACATCAATTTTAACATTAATCCAGGACCATATTAATTAAAAAGGTAACTCTGGAAAAGTATAATAATGCTTTTTCAGAAACCAATATAAATGAGCAAGCATTTTGAGCCAGGGGTTCTCAAACTTCAGAGTGCATCAGAATTATCTGGAGGACATGTTAAAACAGACCGGTGGCCGCCCTTTGCAGAGTTTCTGCTTTAGTAGGGCTGGGGTGCACTCCTCTGAGAAGATGTAAATGTAACAAGTCCCCATATAATGCTGACCCAGTCGGTCCAGGGAACCACATTTGGGAACCACTGTTTCAGATTATCTACATCATTGCTCCCTTCTAGAACAGAAAAAATTAAGAGTATAATGTATTTATAGACTATGCCAACAGTTCCCTAACATCAAAATAAGCATCTAAAGTAATTTACACAATCAAGTTTTAATTATTCATATTACACAGATAACGTTTCTGGCTTTGTCCTACTGCCCAGAAATCCCCCGGTAGGGACAGGAACTGACCTCTATCACGGGGGCAGGAGCCTGCTAGGAGTTAGGATCTCCAGTACAGGATTAACTTTTTGCCCAGGGGAGTTAGTACTACATCTCTGTTTTCCAAGGCAGGTAGAGAAAAAGTAGCCTCAAGACTTCTGCATCAAGAGTTGAATACGGGGACATCTGGCTGGCTTAGTCAGTTGGGCGGCTGCCTTCAGCTCAGGTCATGATTTCAAGTGTCCTGGGATCCGGCCCAGAATCAGGCTCCCTGCTCAGCGGGGGAGAGTGTGCTTCTCCCTCTCCCTCTGCCCTTTCCCCTGCTTTGCTCTTTCTCTCTCTCAAATAAATTAAAAAAAACAGAGTTGAATACAGTTTGCAAGCCAACAAGATTTGAGTGAACGAATAAGAGAACTTCAATACCTGTATTTCTGATGATGTAATCCAAAATAACTAATCTTTCAAATTGTGACTGAAATTCTTTTCTAATATTCTCAGGCAAAGGGTCAGCTTCAAATTTCCTAAGCCAATATTCAGCCTCCTTGTAACCTTCAACAAATAACTGAAAGGAACCAATCTATAATTTTAAGAACTATAGTTAGAAAAGAAAGTACAAGAAAAAAGGGATTACTTTTTCAATTTCTCAGTAGTATCATCATAAAATATGCTATATAAACATGGTAAGAAAAACAAAAGAGTTAACACTAATTTAGATAAGCCACATTTATCAAAACCATTTTTATACACTAATTTTAAATAATCACACAAAGAATACATAGCAAATTAAAAATGTTCAACCCTAGGCTTTTGAGGAGCATAGAGACTATTTTAGGATAATTAAAAAGGAAAATGCCTCTCAAGGTGATAATCTCAACTCAGAAAGCTGTTTTCTAAAAATATTCATTAAAATGACTTTAATTATGGAAACCAAATAGTACACCTCTCCTGGTCATTTTAATAACAGTGCAATTTTTTCTTACTGAAGAAATACTTCAGGATTTTTTCTTTACAACATAAAATACAGAATATAGCCTTATTTTAAAAAAGAATGCATTCTTTGCCTTTGCAGATTACAGATCCTGTCATAAATTTTAAATAACTAATCAATCATAAACTCTAGAGTGGTTTTTAAGAAAATCCTTTCCTTGAAAATATGTCCATTTTAAAATGCATTTCTGTCACTAAAATTACTACATGCATGTATGTACAGCACAGGACATACAGGTCACCTAGTTGGTCTCATAAATACAAACTACCACAAAGAAAATCTATTTCTTATCTTAATACTATGTTCTTGTTGTTGGCATGAGATTTTAACTATTTCTAAAAGGTTTTCTTTAAAGCACTTATAATTAAGTCCTAGTAGTCATAAATATGCAAATAATAATATCCTTCTTTAGTCACACTTAATTTCAGCATATCCAAGGAATAACAGGCCTTGTAAAAATTTTCAAACTTCCTGCTTACCTGGAGTACAATTTTAAAAACAATTTATGTTAGGCATGAATTTTTATTCAAATTCTTTTATCTAGACAAATGCATTGCAACCACAAAAGAAAATCACAAATATATTAAAAAAAAAAAAAAAGCCTAAAGTTTTTCTAGAATGCTTTCCCATTAATCCTCCCCACTCTTGCTTAGCTAGCTGCTAATCATTCCTGAGGTTTATTTAAAAGTGGTAAGAAAGAATAAAATCTAGTATGTAGCCAGTAACATAATTACTACCACTTACTACACTGTGTGCCGGGTACCATACCAAGGACTTGACATGAATTTCTTCATTTAATCTCACAGCCCCAGGAGGTAGTTTTTCTCACCCCTGTTTTATAGAGCCTAGGGCTTAGAGAGTAGGGGACTTGCTCAAGGTCTCAGAGCTAACTGGTAGAGAGGCTGGGAGGGAAACCCAGGTCTGGTTCTTGCCCTGTGCATTTAGCCTTTACTTTAAAAAGCCATAGGTGCAAACTCCTCTTGGAAACACTCCTTAGCCATCCAAACCGAGTGAGACAACCCCAAATCTCCGACCTTCCTGCATTTAACCATCCTAACAGCTTTATCATATTGCACTGAGATGGCTTATTCACTATAAGCTCTTTGAGTATGAAAAACCCATTTTATTTACTATTATATCTGCGCCTACAGCACACACTGCTCAGGTAATACATGCTGAATTGCCCCCCAAAATAAAACTTAGCACAGTAATTTACCTTAGGAGGGAGTCCTATCCGATGGAATTTTCTACCTACTTTTGGCACTTTCTCTAAAGCATACTTTTTGCCTCTAGATTTTGCACGGTCAATTGCACTGTAGTTAAATGTCTCACTGACAAGCCAAACCACCTGGAAACATACAGTTTTAGAAAAATGGTTATCAGAATTTGCATTATAGTATTTCTACTCATATACTACATGAAATGTACTCTAAAACTGTAAATTAGCAGAGTTTAACCCTATACTAAATGTCTCAGAGAATCTAAAACAGAAAGGCTTAAGGATTTTGCAAACTCAGTTAAATGGCATATATTTCTCGAAGGGACAGTCTAAAACTGGAAGCAAGAAGTAATCGTCCAGAGATGTAGAATTAGGAACGAATATTCTGAGGAAGTCTTCAAGTAAAAATTTATAAAGGCTAAAAAGAAAAAAAATAGTCTTTTGGCGCATTAGTTATCTCTACCTTCAAGAGAGTATCTAGAACCTCGATATTTTTCTGCTCTCTAAATGTTAGTTTTTTTCCCTCTTGTCAGCACCATCGAAGCTTGTATGAGCAAGGGATATTATTCCCCTTGGACACTTTGTGGATCTCCACTAGAATCAATTTATTAGTTACTCATGACTCTGGATTACCAAAACAAGGGCTCAACTTTAGGCTCTGTCGTTAGAAATATTACTAAAGTGTTCACAGAGAAGTAGACTACAAATTAGAAGTACATAATTAAAAACAATTTCTCCTTTACCTTTGTTTTAGGTACAATGCCCAGATGAAGCTTTTCATCCACAAGGGAGGCTCCAGCTTCAGAAAGGTATCCCTGATTAGGAAGCAGGCAGCCTCTACCAAAGCAGCAAGGGCAGCAGACCTTATGAACATATTTGGTCCATTTCGGATTCAGTTGGCCATAAGGCTCTTCTGATTTGGGTTTAAACACACCAATAATTTTCTATATAAAAAAGTAGAAATTTTGTTAGATTTTTAATATAGAGAGACAATAATCCATAAAATGCATTCTGAGAAATCTTTTTGTATTTCTTCCCACCAGATTTGGGCATTACCCTTATATATTAAGAGGTTCAGTTTTAATTATATTTTTATATTCATTCTCATCCAACAATCTAAAATCAATAATCCTTTGGGCTAGTAGTTTTCAAACTGTGCTCTGAGAAACACTAGGGAAGGTGAGAGTGGAGATGAGAGAGGGCTCTAAGACCCCATGCCACTTAACTAGATCAACTCTGACTTCATCTGTTTTGTTACTGGACTTCCAAGTTATAAAAGGGTTACACTGATTTACAATGTTTGAAAACCCACTGCTCTAGGTCAAATGATGTTATTATTATTTATTAAATATCAAAATTATATGTTTATTTGTTTATCATCTACTTTCTCATTAGATGTACATTCTAAAGGACAGAGACTTTCCTTGTTAGGGCTGTATCCCAAGTATTCAGAACAGTGCCTGGTACACAGTAGGAGTTCAAGCATTTGTCAAATGATTTAATAAATCCAATGATAAAAAGTAGTCTCTAAAATACAAAGGTAATGATAGCTATATGTGAACATCTATGCTGTGAGACTCTCCTACCCTAATCGTTCTCCATTTTTTTTATGAATCAATTTTAAATAAATTCTCTCCTCTTAAAAAAATTGCTCATGGATGTCTAAAGTCTATAATCTTTATTACTGGTCTGATAAAATATATTCATATTAAATTTAGAGGGTGAAGTATCCTTAGACAAGATTTAAAATTTTAAGTATATAATTGCTATATAATGTAATAAAGTCTAAGTCACTAGTAAAAAAGTCAACAAGAACAAATTACAAAATCATACTTGGAATTAGGCTGATAGATTGACATTACCTACATATACATTTAAAACTCAAAAAAGACTTTGTTTTTTAAAATATATCTTTGATATTTGCAAAAAATATTAGGATGAAATCATAATCTTTTTCCTCCTGAAAAAAGAACTGCTGGCTATGTAACATTCAGAAAGCTTTCAGAGATAATAATACAGATTTCTGAAAAATTCTAGACTAAGTGGAACAAAGTCCCATATCAACTTCTCTCTTCCGCCCTAGAATTATACTTTGGTTCATTTCACTATGTCACATTCCAGTGCCTTCAATCTTCAGACTGCCCAGGCTGCTCTGGCATAATGCATGAAAAAATACTCCTAGGGCAAAATAAGCCTTTGAAAAAGATCTGGAAAAGACATTAAATACGTTTTGAAAGTTTAAATTTCTACTTTGGTTGGCTAATATAGTTACTGTAAAGTAAGGACTTATGAATATAAACTCAACAAATCCTTTGCTGAATATGAGTATTCCATAAATGCTTGAAACCAAGTATTAAAATAGTAGGACAGCAAACTATGACTTAAAATGAAGAGCTTTATTTCTAAATAGTAGAGTGCTTTAGTTAAAAATAACAAAAACCTGATCTTTATTTTTGAAAAGGGTGCAATCAGATTTATTAGAAAAACATCTTCAGAACCTTACAGTGATTTCACATTCAAATTAGTGTTTTCCAAAATTTCTATTATGTACACTACAGATCTGTGAAATTCTCACCCTCTTAGGATCCTTCACAAAGTAACTTCCACTTGAACCTTGAGAGATTCTTTCTGGAAAAACTCCAAATTCTATTGCTTGCTCTGCTTTCAACACAATATCAGCAAATTCAGGATCATCCAAGAATGTATTCAATGCTGAAGAATCAACAATTATTGCATTAAAAAAAAATCAATGTTAATATAGAACATGAAGAAAAAAGAAAGGCCAGCTATGAGAATGCTCATGAGAGGGACCTGTAATACTGGGTTAGGTTATTAGCATTAGGATATTAAGGTACAGAAAAAAAATGTAATCAAGCATTGTATGGGTTGCTTGGATCCTTCCTTTTTTTCCCCTAACCCTACTTCCCTTTAAACTTCAAGTAATGACACATGAAAAACAAAATCCCTATTTGTTGAAATAATTACACTAATGAATATCTCACATTACTCTGAATTCCTCTCTTCCAGTGATTTTGTTCTCCAGCCTATCTCAACTTCCAACTGCACAGTCATACCTCAGATCTGTCATTACTAATACCTGCAACCTCTCCATACCTTTCAATTTCAAGCACCTTCTACCTCCTAGTTCATTCCCTCTGGTACCCTGAATCCAAAAATTCTTCCACCCCGCCTAGGGCTTACAAAGCACTGAGCTACCATGTTGTCAACTGATCTTTGTGTCCTTATGTCCCTCCTTGGCCAGCTTAAATTATGGTCAGTCATCACATAATCACTCTTCCTTTCCTCCCTCCCCTCATCATGGTCACCTGGAAAAATATCAGTCCTGGTTAAACTCAACTGTCTGCTAAGTATGCCTAGGCCCGGAGAGCTAAACTCGACTAGACAAACATACACAAACACAATGCCCGATGGCTCACTTTAATTTAAATTCATCACCAGAAATCTCAGGTGGGCCCTTCATGGTGCCTGGGAAGCATACCACATTCCTGTTATGGACAGACTGTCCTCCCAAAATATGTTGAAGCCCTAATTCCCAATGGAATTGCATTGGGAGACGGAGTCTTTGGGAGGTAATTATGTTTAGATGAGGTCATGAGGGTAGGGCCCCCACGACAGGATTAGTGCCAAGGGCATGCTCTCTCTCGCCCTGTGTCACATGAGGATACAGCGAGAAGGTGGCCATCTGCAAGCCAGGAAGCCAGCCCTGATCATGCCAGCACTCTCATCTTGGACTTCTCAGTCTCTGGAACTGTTAGAAATAAGTTGTTTAAACCACTTCGTCTATGATATTTTGTTCTAGCAGTCTGAACTAGCACAACTCCCGGTACATAGTCTCTCCCACTGTTCCGGGCAACTCTCACACCCTCCCCTCTTCTCAAATTTCCAACACCTCCTCTCTCTCAGATGAGCCTTATGATATGCAATCAGAAAAAACTATCATCAGCCCTCTGCACCACATCTGCCCATGACATCCTCTGCCTTCCACCTAGTACTATAGATGAACCACCTAAGCTCCAAGATTAGCTCATTCACTTTGTGTACCAGACCCTATCTCTTCCTGACGACTCCTGGGCATTTCTTCAGCAGTCCTTCCCTACATCAATATTTCCTTCTTTATTGGATCATTTCCATCACCATACAAACCATGCTGAATTCTTCTCATCCTAAATCTAACTCCCACAATACTCCTAGATGTTTCCTCACTTTCTTTGACCCTCTGTATAGCAGAAGGCCTCTATAGATATTTATATTTACCATCTCCAAATTTCTTCCCTGATTTTCTCTTAAACCCATTTAAATCAGGCTTCTGTCCCAACCATTCAATTGATAAAACTTTTGTTGGGGTATGTAGTCGTCCATATTGCTAAATCTAACCTTAGAACTTACCTTTCTTGCCCAACTCCAACATATGACCCTGTTGGTCACTCCCTCCTCCTTCACTTGGCTTCCAGGATCCCCCTTCTCCAGGTTTTCCCACTTCATTGGCTCCTCTTTTTCAGTCTCTTTGCTGGCTCATTTTTATCTCCCTGACAGGCTGACTTTGCAACGCCTCAGATTCAGTTCATGGTCCTCTTCTCTTCTTCATCAACACTGATGACTCCCAAATTTATATTTCAAGCCTGGACTTCTGCCCTGAACTCCAAACTACTATACTCAACATCTCTACTTGGACGTTTAATGGACAGCTCAAACTTTACTCCCCAAAATTCAATTCTTATCTTCGTCACCCCTCCTGACTGCTTCCCTCCCAGGTTTCCCTATTTCAGTTGTTGGCAACTCCAAATCTTTTAGCTGCTCAGGCCAAAAACCTTGGAATCATCCATGATCTTATACTCTCACCTCCAACATCCAAGCCATCAGCAGGTTGCCTGGCTCTACCTTACATAAACACCCAGAAACCAACCATCTCCATTCTTCTAATGTGATTCAAGTGACCATCAACTCTCACCTGGATAATTATAAGTTTAACCACTCTCCGTCTTTCACCCATGCCTTCTCTATACTCGACAGAGAAGCTATAGCAGTAATCCTTTTAAAACTTGTCAGATCTGGGGTGCCTGGGTGGCTCAGTTGGTTAAGCGCCTGCCTCCGCTCAGGTCATGATCTCAGGGTCCTGGCATTGAGACCCAGTTGGGCTCCCTGCTCAGCGGGGAGTCTGCTTCTCCCTCTCCCTTTGTTCCCCCACCCCCATCCCCTGGCTCATGCTCACTCTCTCAAATAAATAAAATCTTTTAAAAAAACCCCAATGTCAGATCGTGTCACTCTTTTGTATAAAACAGCCCAATGGTTTCCCATCTCATTAAAAGTCCAGGCCTTATAATGGCCCCAAGGCCCTATACAATCCTCCCCAACTTCCACTTTATTTTCCTGTTTAGCACTTATCACCTAATACATAATTTACTTTGTGAGTTATAAGAAGACAAGGATTTCTTTCACTGCTGTATGCCCAGAACTTTTATAGTTCTTGGAACATAAGAGGCACTCAATACACACTTGCAGAATGAATTAACAATTAATCATTTAAAGTGACAGACAAGGCAAAAATTATTCATACTTTGGAAGGTATTTAAAGGCTATTACATGCATTCAACATTATGAAAATTCAAAACATAAATTTACCTTAATTTAAAATTTGCCTTAATTTAGGCAGAAATAAAACGGTTATTTATTTTTAAAAGTATGTGCTAATGGGGCACCTGGGTGGCTCAGTCTTGAAGGTCTGCCTTCAGCTTGGGTCTGGGATCGAGCCCCGCGTCAGGCTCCCTGCTTGGTGAGAAGCCTGCTTCTCCCTCTCCCACTACCCCTGCTTGTGTTCCCTCTCTCGCTGTGTCTGTCAATTCAATAAATAAAATATTTTTTTAAAAAAAGTATGTGCTAAGAAAAATACTACAAAAAGGGCAATTGGGCATATTTAACTTACTTAAAAGAAGAATAAATAATCCAAGTATTGTAGTTATGTCAATACAATTGATATGCTAATTCCTAATCATTCTCATTTACCCCATGAAAGTAATTAAGAATGGAGGAACTTTATCTTTCTTTATTCACTGTATATCCCTGGCACCTGGATGAGGGATCAGCATTTAGTGGGTACTTAATATATATTTAATTGAATAAATGCAGTATTGTTTATGTACTCCCTTTTGGTCTCCTCTAAAATGTGATGATCTTCTACTCAAGTTCCAGTCCTATATGAGCTCCTCACTTTTCCTAAGATATCCAGCACATCCTCTCAACAGAGGATTTGCCTATGCTATTCCCCATGTATATTCCAAGCTTCCTCCCCAGGGCTAATACTTATTGATCCTTGAACTCCATCTCCTCACTTGTAACACTAAAAAAAAAAAAAAAGATCTAAGTTCCAGAAGGGCACAGATCTTTGTTTTGCTCTCTGGTATACTCCAAGTGCTTAAAAACAGTGCCTGGTACCTAGTGGGCCCTCGATAAATCTGACAATTATTTATTAACAAACTATCCCCTGGACCACACGTAAGGGTTATCACTGGTCCTTTAGTAACCAGACTTAAAAACGGAATAAGAGAATCCATTTTATAAACCTTTTATATAGGTATGTGTGATAATTATCAAGTTCTCATTTTAATAAATAAGCCAAAATGAGCCCCTACTCACTTACCCACTGACCGGAATATTCTCTAAAAAGAAAAGTGGTTAGCTCACTAGTTTGGTGATCGGAACCCTGCCCTTGCGAGTTCCAGGGCCAGCCATTTTTCAGGTATCAAATTGGATACTATTTCCTCTGCTAAGTGTTCCTTGGTCCCTAAATCCAGGGCACAGTTCAATGGAACCCTCAGTTTTCCCCATCCAAATATACCGGCTGTTGGAACGGTTTTAATTGACCATTTCCACCATTAGGCTATAAAGCTATGTGGGGACAAGGCTAGTGACTGAACATGCATCTGATACCTGGTCACTACTGTTTCCCCAAGGCCTCAATTTCCACGGGCACCCAGCAGGCACTCAAGCATTTGAGAATGATGTATCTCGGCAATAAATGGAAAACAAAGAGTAGGTATCTTCTCATTACTGGCTGAAGAATGACCTCTTGACAGGGAGAAGTGGCTGCTCACTCACTATCTTTCAAAAGCTCAGCTATGGAGAACTGTCAAGACACACAGGGCATCTACTCTTCTCATGTCTTCCTCTAAATTCAGCCAGCTTATCAGTGTCTAGAATACGGATCCAGCAATACTGATAGCACCACCCGTTAGAATTTTCTTCTATTAAAATGGGCTTCAGGGAAGTTACAAGAAATGTTCCTATGAAACTCATCACTTTTATTACAAAAATACTATTCATCATATAGTCTCTTCTCCAAAAGATATATGACAGGTTTTCCTTTGTCTGTTTTGATTCAAATCATTAGTTTAACTTTATGGGCACATTGATTGTGCTTCTCTCAAGTTGCCTCCTCAGGAACTTCAAAGAACAGATTTTTGGGCTGCCTGCATCAAGCGTCTAATGTGCATTTTGTGTACTCTTATTCCAACCTCCATCTTATTTATTTCATCACCTTATTTCCCACTCACCTCTCTCTTCCTTACTTTTAAGTGATGTTATTTTGTTCATACATTTATAAGGCACCATGAATCATTAAAAGGCTTATAAATACACACTTCCTTTTACTTTGGTAGTTCTTTGTGTATTCTAACACCATTCTCTAATTGTAGGTTCTCCAACAAAACTGTTAAGTGCTCCTGGTTTGTATTAACTGGGACCTTGAGAAGTCACTTCATTTCTCTGTGCTTCCTTAAAATGAGAATAACAAATAGTAGTCACTTCATGGGGTTAGTTATGAATCAATATAAGTGAAGCTCATAGAACTATGCCCTACACATATTGCTACGTAGGGTATTAACTATTATCATCTTTATTACTTTCCAGCTCACTGATTAAAATGACAACTAGAACAAGGAATGCCACTAATCTTTCTACTTTGATAATGACCCAACACCACTATGTTTATGCTGGGTCTAGACTTTGTCAGTGTCTTGCTCAAGTGAAGGTTACACACATTCTTCCACTGGTAGAGTACATAAAGCTCCTATTTACATAAACAAAATAGTTAAGCATAAATGCATTTGCATTAAGCATAAGATAAATGATGTTAATATCAATCTAAAGGTAGGAATTTCTTAGAACTAGAGAGGTGGCTTCATGGAAATTGGGTGGTAAAGGGCAAAGAAAGTTAATGGACTCATTAAAAAATAACTTAAAAATCTAGTTATATTATTCAAAAACTAACTTTTTGGAGACTGGCTTGAAATTTTTAAAATACTTTTTACAATTCAAAAACTATTTTTAAATCCATTAAAAATCCATTTTAAATCCATTAGTAACAAGTAACAGTTATTTTATAATACTTGGGATCTACAGCAAAATGGAAAAGTACAGGACATAAAAAGAAGAACTAGGCTCAGTTCTGGCTTTATCACTTCCTGTATACTTGACTTTGGCTCACCGCAGAAGTTCTATGACCGACTAGTCATTACAGTTTTATTCATTTTCAATCCTCACAACATGGATGAGGGTGAGTAACAACCTGTTGTGTTGCTGTGAGAATTAATGAACTATACAAAAAGAGATCTTAGCAAACTGTAAACTGTGATACAAATAAATTATTACCACTTAAAAAGGGAGGAATGCTCTTTAGTAACCCATTTGTATTCTGAGCACTATATTCTATTCCACTGTTACTTTTTCTAGCCTTAATACTTTTTTTTTTTTTTAACAAAACCTCACTTTCACAGAATAAACACACTCAAGGTTTTAGGGTCTTTTAAAATCTAGCTACACAGGTAACTTGAGGGTAGAAAAAAGCAAGCTAGCCACACAGATCTTCGTTACTTTACAGAAGCGATTCTAGGTAGTACAGAAACAAATTACGCAGCTAGGTGAATGTGGGTCCATTTGCGATCCTCATGTTTGTTCTGTTCAATGTTGTACTGTCCATGCACCTGTTAGCTAACATAATGGCATAATGCATGGCAGACCAGTCTGCTAAAGCTTTATTCATGAAACACTTGAAGGGGAAAGTTTGGTTCTCTGGGGCCTCTTCGATTTACCTGCCTGAGAGGATGTTTGAATGTAAGTTCAACTACGACTTGAATAATCTATTCTATCCCAAATTCCTTAAATTGTAGGAGCTCCATTACTGTACTGGTAGCAGGACATGTACAATCTAAAAACTCCAGGAAAACTAAGCAGCATTAATTAAAGTGACACTGTCTGTGGCTTTTCTTTAAGCCATCACATTTGGACTTCTACTACAGGCACAGCGCACACACCATCTCCCTTAAACCATCCCAACCGCCAACAAACAGATGTTATCCTAAGTTTACAGACTAGCCCGTCTCATCTCCAGCTAGGATTCATACAATTCCACCCTATTTTACTATCAAAGTAGCCTACCTCGACTCAACTTGCCAAAAAACTTACTTTATCAACAAATACCCACGCTTGCAAGAGCATGCCTACACTTTTACTAGTTTTCAACATCATATCGTATCAGTTACCCTCTTTTCCACCTGAGGCTACCAGTCCACCTCTTACAGTATAAGAATAGAAATGTCTCAAGAAAGAAAACTTCGCAACAGTTGGCAGCTAGAGAAATTCAACTGCCTCTGCCCCCTCTGGCTAACGTCACAATAACACTAACCAGAGAAAGTTTTGAAAACGCGTCCCAATGGCACCTAGATACTCTTGCTGGGCATCTCTCTGCTGTCACCCACCTGCCTTGCAAATTCACAACCCGGGGAACTTTCCTGATAGTTCAGGGTTCTTAATCCAAACCTCAAGTCCAAACTTGAGCAAACAACTGACGTCATTTTATCGTGCTAAGTTTTCCTCAGGGTCTGATTTCAACAGTTTAGGCTTACTCTTAGGGGAGGCCCCAAGGATCAGTTCCGTGACAACCACAGGCCTTGGGTGACGTGGCCAGTGCCCCCTGGAAAAGGTGCGAGGAAACCGGGGAGCAGAGAGAAAGGCAAGGGCTCCGAGGTTCGACCGGCGACGCGCCCCCTGGCCGGTGCTCTGGAGGGGAGGGTTGCCCGGCTGGCTGCCTTTCCTCCCAGGCAAGTGCTGGTGCGGGACAGAGATGGGACCCCGGAGGGGCTGGACTGCGGGGTGGTGGTAAGGGCCGGGTCGCACCTGCACCTCGGGGGCGTTTCCGTTTCGGGCGGGTGGGCGAGCTCCGGAGGCCACTCACGCTCCCGGAGGGCCCGCTGGGCGCGTCCCAGGACGGGAGCAGCAGTTCCTTGTCTCCAGCCTCGCGAGGGGAGGCCGCGCTCTCCTCGCCCGCAGCCTCCACGAGCCTGACGGCGCTCCCCGGGGCGCCCTTAGGTGGCTGGGCCCAGGCGATCCGAGGCAGCAGCGGTTCCCGCTCCTCGTCGTCCTCCTCTTCCAGGCTCCCGCCGCCGTCCGCCGACGCCAGCCGCCCGGGCTCGGAGGACTCCGCCATGGCCTGCCTCCCTCTGTGCCCTCGGCGTTGAGACCGGCTCAGAGAGGCGAGCTGCCCGCCTGTGGCCTCGGCATCGCGGGGGACCGCAGCCGCTGGGGCAGGTCGAGGACACCTCACAGGCGTACCACCCCGCTCCGCGCCAGCCGGGCGGTTGTCCCCGCGCAGCCGCCAGTCGCGCCCCACCTCGCGCCAACCCTGCGCCTGCGCGGAAGGGCGGGGGCGGTGGTGGGCGGGGCGCGGGGCGGGGCCGTCACCTGCGGCGGCGGGAGCGGGAAGACGCGCGGCGGGGTGGATGGCCAGGAGGAGCGCCTGCGTTAGCGTTAATTTACCTCAGCCCAGGAGCCGCCGTCCAATCTAAATCAGTTTCCCCTCCACCGCAGAATTCCTTCATGGAGTTTACCACAATTCATACCTACACATTTATTTCTGTGACTAACATTTGTTACCCCCACTATAAGCCCACGAGAGTAGAGACCTTGTCTTTTGTTCAGACATCCTGGACATTGGTTGGTTGTATACTCTTTTTTCCCCCGACTAATTTAGCGAGAAGTTTATCATTTAAAAATTTTTTTTTCAAAAAGCTGTCTTTTGGTTCCAATGATTTTGTTTTCTAGTTCATTGACTTTTGAGTTTTATTATTTCCTTCTTGCTACTTAATTTCTATTTGATTTCCTCTTCTTTTGCTAGCTGCTTAGAGTAGAAGAGTGTACTATTGATTTTGGACCTTTCTATTTTTAAAAAATGTAACTATTTAAAGCTATGCTGGGTTGCCTGGGTGGCTCAGTCATTAAGCGTCTGCCTTTGGCTCAGGTCGGGGTCACAGGGTCCTGGGATTGAGCCCCACATCGGGCTCCCTGCTCATCAGGAAGCCTGCTTCTCCCTCTCCCACTCCCCCTGCTTGTGTTCCTTTTCTCGCCATGTCTCTATCCATCAAATTAATAAATAAAATCTTAAAAAAAAAAAAAAGGCTATGCCTTGCCCTCTAAGCACTGCTTTATCTGCATTCACAATTTTTGCTATTGTGTTTTCGTTTTCATCATTTCAAAATACTTTTTTATTTCCCTTATGATTTCTTCTTAGACTCACTTCTTTGAAGTGCGTGTGTAATTTCCAAATATTTACGGGCTATTCTAGAAATTAGTATTTATTTCTAATTTAATTATGTTGTGACCAGAGAAGATACACCAAGATTTAAACTTTTTTCGAAATTTATTGAGACATTTCATAACCTAGCATATTACCTACATTAGTGAACATTCTATGTGCTCTTTAAAAAGAATGTGTATTCTGTGGCTGAGTCGTTCTATAACTATCAATTGTTTCTATAAATATCAATTCAGTATTGATAGTGTCATACCCATCAGCTATATCCTTATGGATTTTTTAAAAAAGATTTTATTTATTTATTTGAGAGAGACAGAGGGAGAGAAGGGGGAGGAGCAGAGGGAGAGGGACAGGCAGACTCCAGGCTGAGCACAAGCCCCACGTGGGGCTCAATCCCAGAACTCTGAGATCATGACCTGAGCCAAAATCAAGAGTCAGATGCTTAACTGACTGAGCCACCCAGGCGCCCCTATCCTTATGGATTTTTACATTTAGTTGTTCTGTCACTGACTGTGATAAGGGTTACACTTTATGATTGTAGATTTGTCTATTTCTTCTTTTAGTTTCATAAAGTTTTGCTTTATATATTTTTGAAGTTGTTATTAGGCGCATACACAGGATTTTTATGTCTTCAGTTGGGTTTTAATTTCTACCTGATGATTTGATTTGACCCTGTCCTTTCTTTCCTTCCTTCCTTCCTTTTATAATGAATGGTCCCTCCTTCTCTCTCCTAATACTCCTGCCTTGAAGTCTATATAGTCTGATAGTAATATAACCACTCCACTTTTCTTAGGCTTACTGTTTGCCTGATAAATCTTTTTCCATCCTTTTCAATCAGTTTGTGTCTTTATGTGTGCATGTTTGTAAATATGTATCTCCTCTAATAGCTTATAGTTGTTCTTGATTTTATTATTTACATTTAGTCTGATAATTTCTGCCTTTCAATTAGAGTTTTTAGTCTACTTACATTTAATGTAATACTAATGTGGTTGGATTTAGATTTACTGTCATTTGCAATCGTATTTTATATTTGTTTCATTCTTTTTTTGTTCTTCTGTTCCTCCTTTCTTGTTTTCTTTTGGGTTAATGAATATTTCTTCGTATTTCATCTTAAATCCTCTATTGACCTTCTGCTAAATCTCTTTACATTAATTTTGAGTGCTTATTCTAGCACTTACTGTATACAACCTTAAATTATCTCAGTGTACATAGAGTTTATATTGTTGTACCTGATGTAAAATATAAGAACCTTGCAAAAGTTTTGTTCTATTTACCCCCCATACTTTATGTTATTATTGTCACATATATTAGGTCCACATATGTTTAAATAAAGTGAATATTTTTTGTCTTAAACATTTACATGTCTTATAAAGAAATTAAGAAACCAATGTATAGTGTTTTATATTTACCCACATATTTACCATTTCCAGTGCTCTTTTTTTCATCCAGCGCTCTTCATTCTTTTCCGAAGATCTGAGTTTCCAACTAGTATAATTTCCCTTCCCTCTGAAGAATTTTTTTAAAGCATTTTTTGTAATAGAGATCTGCTGGTGATAAATTCTAAGTTTTCATTTATCTGAAATTATCTTTATTTCACCATCATTTAAAAAAATATACTTTCTCTAGATATAGAATTCTGGATTATGTTGTCCCCCTGCTCCCCCTCCAAGTTCAAGTCTAAACATGTAATTTCATTGTCCTCTACCCTTCATTATTTCTGAATTCTGTCCCTCCACCCACCCACCCAGTTTGCACTGTCATTTTCTCTAGTTCCCTTTAAGATTTTTTTCTTTATCCTTGCTTTTTCAATAGCTTGAGCATGATGCTCTTGATATAAATTTCTTTATATATATCCTGCTTGAGTTTTGCTTGGGTTTCTTGGATCTGTAAATGTATGTATTCCAACAAATGTGGAAACATTTCAGCCATTATTTTTTCAAACTTTTTCCTGTCCCATTCTGGGATTCCTATTATATATATGTTAGACTTTTTAATATTGTCCTAAAGGTAAATAGGACTCTGTTAATTTTTTTCAATAGGTTTATCTCTGTTTTTCAGATTATATAATTTCTCTTAATCTGTTTTAAATTTGCCAACCCTTCAGCCATTTCTTTTTTTTTTTTTTTAAGATTTTATTTATTTATTTGACAGAGACAGAGATAGCAAGAGCAGGAACACAAGCAGGGGGAGTGGGAAAGGGAGAAGCAGGCTTCCCACTGAGCAGGGAACCCAGTGTGGAGCTTGATCCCAGGACCCTAGGATCATGACCCAAACCGAAGGCAGATGCTTAATGACTGAGCCACACAGGCGCCCTCCTTCAGCCATTTCTAATTGACTGTTAAACCCATCCGGTGGGTGTATTTCAAATTTTGTACTTTTCAGTACTAGAATTTCCATTTGACTCTTCTTTAAGAGTTTCTATATATCTGTTAACATTTTCCATCTGTTAATTTATTATGACTGTATATAGTTTTAAGCCCTTGAATATATGTAAAGTGTTTGAAAATCTTTGCTAATTCTTGCATCTGAGTTATCTTAGAGTCAATTTCTATTGATTATTTTTTTTCTTGACTATGGGTCAAATTTTCCCATTTCTTTACATATTTGTTATTTTTTAAATTGTATATTGGATTTTGTGGATGATATATTGTAGAGCCTCTAGATTCAATTTTCCTCTGATGAGTGTTAATATATTCTAGTATGTAGTTAAGTAGTCTAGAGTCAAATTCCACCTGAAATTTTTGATGATTTCTTTCAGCAATCCTGATGTTCCCTTTTGCTGGGCTCCTTGGAGTCTCCTTCATGCAGAGTTCAGGAGTCAACCAAGAATTTGGGTAGGGTGTATGTGTAGATTTTGGAGCTCTTTCCCTCAGTTACTCCTTCCTTTTCAGGATTTCCCTTTTCAGTTTCTAGCTGTTCTGATAGCCAGACTCCATCCTTAAGCTATTAAGACTGTGGCTTTCTGATTGGCTTCCATGTACCTTCCACAGTACAGACTGAGTAATCTCCCCACATGAAAAGATGTATAAGCATAAATCATACTTGTTGTATTTCAATTCTTTGAAGAGTGGCCATCCTTTCAATTACTGCCTGCCTGATTTTGACTGCTTTCCAGTATCTTCAAATAATTGTTTTTTTATTTTCCCCAAAGTTTAGCATTTTTATCCATAAAGGGGTTAGTCTGATATAACCTCCTTTGACATATTTTATTGGAAATGTATCCTTTAATGAAATAAATGGTACTATATTTTTGTCAGTAGTTTACATGTTAGTACTGGACTATTACTTATTGCTTGATAAGGCAGGATTCAGCATCAGTTCTATTTGTAGTTTTAGTTTTTATAGACATAAATGCTGAGAAAATCTGTTCAAATTAATAGATGAATATGGGAAACATTTTATAATAACTATGTCACTCAAATCTTTGATCTTTCTTTCACCACTTTCATTCACATGAATATGGTAAAATATGTCCCTGTGTCAATATCTCAGTTTTGAAGACTCTGTTACCTTCAGTGTTTCTCACAGATATTTACTTTGTTTCCATGGCATATTCCCTTAGGGGGGTGCATTTTTTGATAGTATAAGGTCTAGAAGAAGCAAGATCTTTAAATGAAATTTGTCACCACTCCCACAATCTCATTCTACAATATCTATGTATTCAGAACATCCTAACACAGGCCTAAATGCACCATGTCTAATGTTGCCATCACCTTTAAAATGATGCTTCTTTAATAAGAAAATGCAGGAAGCATTGCTGCTACCTTATGGGGCCTTTGTTTAAGGAGGCTTTTCCAAAACCTGTATTTTAAATCTAATCTTTGTTGGGAGCCTCAGGTTTTTTATACCCTGAAGCAAGGAGGCTTTGGATGATTCAGGATAGACATTCCTACACCAACTGGTATACCACAGTTCAATTCTGGCACTAACCATCCACAGTTAGCACAGATTCCACAAGATAAGGGGTCAGTCCCCCACAAAACTGCCCTCACTTCAGATGCCAGCCACATTTCAGGCATTTATGACCAACTGTCTACAAATTTGGGGGATCCTATGACTCTCCCAGATTCTATAATTTGTAGAACAATAC